AAACTCAGATCTCTCTCAGGTTCTCCAGATCCTCAAGATCTCTAAATCCCAGGCAATTGCAGTTCAATGTGTCCAAAAACAATTCTTTATCTCCACAGTCATACATCTCTCCAAGTGATTTCTCCACCCATGTGTTCTATTTTCATCCAGTTTCCCAAGCAGAAACCTGGGAGGGTGGGGGAGAATCTCCTTGATTTCTTCCTCTCCCTCCCTCATATCCAATAAGTGACCAAGTCTTATCATCATATTTCCATTTAAGGAATTTTTATAGCCCAGAATTTATTAACCACCACTAAAGCCATAGCAGTATAATGAATTAAAGATGATGAGGTTAAGTGGAATAAAAAATAAATAAAAATGTCACTGAAGTCAATGTAAAAAAAAGTTTTGGTATTGCCCAATGGAAGTTTGAAAGAATAAGAACTTACAAGAGATGGTTAGATTTAGTTAGAAGGTTCTTGGTGATTTCAAGGTCACCTGAGGGGTAAAAGATGAACTTCTTCAGAGTCTATAGTAGTTGGACAACTGTCTGTGTTGCTGTTGTAATTAGCTAGTTGTTAATATTAATCACAGGAAAGGAGAGAAGGGGAGGCCAGACATGACAAGCTTGGTCATCTGGGCAGCTTCACTAAGAAGCTGCAGCTGGACACTCCTCAGGGAACTACTGGTCCATTCCTTGCAGACCACTGGGGAAAGGGACCCACCAAGGGGGAAGCTGGATGCTCATGCAGTGAAGTTGAGGTTATGAAGGGAAGATGCTTGCCTGTTAGTCTAATCTGGGAAACAGTACACTACAAGTACTCAAAATCTTAGAAGGTTAAAATCTGCATACAAAGGAATGATCTTGTTCCTCTTGCTTTGCTCCTGCTTCCTTGAACTCACTCATGCCCCCTCCATAGCCAGGTGTCCCTAGAAGCCCAAGGCCATGCAGACCCCACAGGCAATGGACTGCAGCGGGGAACACCAGCTAATCTGGACTGTATTTGATAAGGAATGGAGGCTCTGGGCAGGAGCACTGCAGAGGACAAAATGAGACTTTTTCTTGAACGGAACTGAGGGAGATGGGACCTTGGGAACTCGGGTTTAATTCCACAGAGATAAAACTTCCCAAGACACCTCATCCTCCTATGGGGGCCTCAGGAAATTCTTATTTTATGGCACCCCAAGAAGCTCACTTCCATCAGCAACAGGTGGGGGACACAGAGTGCACCTCACTGATAACATCTGGACTGTGCTGTTTTATATGTTTTGTGCTGTTTTACATGCTTTCATTTTCACCAAAATGGGTAAGAGTTGGGTGACATCACACTTTGTACCCACAGGTTAAATTCAAATGACACGTGTTTTTTTTTTCCTTTGGAGAATAGTCTTTAAAATGACAATGCCAAGTTTCTCATGGTACAGACCAGCCTCCTTGAAGTGGCTCATTACATAGAATTATTTCCAACTGTCACAGATGATAGGCAAGGAGAGCCAGGATGTCCCTTCAGAAGACAGAGATTGCTGAGCCTGGAGTCATATTGCAGAGGTCACCTAGTCCCTTCCTTGTTTTTAAGACAGAATGGGAATGTAGACTCTTCTTAATATCTCTCAATTAAAGCAGGTTTTAATAGATCGGTGTCTAACAACTATTACTACCACAGGCAGTGCAGTCCTTTACTCATGCATTTCTTCTTTCTCTTCCCCCAGACTCAATGGTTTCCTTTCTTCGTATTCTCTTTCCCTATGCTTGCTTCCTTCTCTGCTTGCTTCCTTCTCCTTCAGTTTTCCTGCCTCTCTTCTTCTTCTTCTTCTTTTTCCTTCACCCATAAATAGAAAACAAAAATGTTGAGATTCCTGACTGGTTACATTCCAGAGAAATAAGGAAATGAAGGTTGTTGTATAACTGGGAGAGGTCAGGGGTGTGATCTAAAGTTGAGAGAAGAGGAAGGTTTTAAAGGTAAAGGAAAGGCAGAAAGGTTAAGTATAGGTTTCATTTTAGACGCTTATTACATAAAATGATTCTTTTGTGAATTCCATCCAGGTATTCCATCTTTCACAGGTGACCCAAAATTACCAAAGATGGTCAATAACATGTATTCAAAGATGATCGCCTTCATTAGTTTTTGTTTATACAAAAGTATCAGTATCCGATATTGCATCAGAGTGAGCCTTAGGAAAGGAAATGCCTTAGGAAATGTCTATAGGATCTTTTTTTTTTTTCCCCCCAACAACCAGGATGTAAAATGTCACTGAATTAAATTGTGCTGGTATTGCCCAATGAAACATAAAGTTTGAAAGAATGAGAACTTACAAGAGATTGTTAGATTTAGTTACATTTATCTTTAACCTATCTCCTTTTCAATTTCCAGTGATACTTTCAGGCTCTTGAAATGTAGGAGTAGCTGAGAGATTCTTTAAAAACAATGGCAGCCGAAACCGGTTTCGCTCAGTGGTAGAGCGTCGGTCTGCAGACTGAAAGGTCCCAGGTTCAATTCCAGTCAAGGGCATGTACATTGGTTGCGGGCACATCCCCAGTAGGGGGTGTGCAAGAGGCAGCTGGTCGAGTTTCTAGCTCTTTATCTCTCTCCTTTCCTCTCTGTAAAAAAAATCAATAAAATATATTTAAAAAAACAAACAAACAATGACAAACAAACTCCTAATAACAAAAATAAGAAATCTATCTTTTACTTTTTTGTTGGTGGGAGATATTGAAAAATATAAAAATAAACAAGCCACCCATCAATAGTTTGCCTCACAGAAATAACTGCTATTAATATTTTCTTGTATTTCTGACCATTTCCTATGCAATTCTATTCATAATTACATTTATATATGTGGTTTTGTATCTTCCAGTCATGTGCTAGTCTAGAATACTTTTAGTTATGGTTTCCCATCCCTTTTCTGGCCAGTGGAACTGTATATGTTCCTTTTCCTGCTGGGAAGTTGAATTTGAAAAAGTAACTCTGCAGAGTTTCCTTTTGAAGGAGACAGTAAGTGGATTATCTAGGTGCATGACTGTTCTTTATCTCAGGGTGGAATGTCTCTAGGGTCCTCTACCACAGATTTATCCTCTATAATTTCCCTCATTTATTTGATTCTCCTCTAAACTTTAAATTCTGAAAGCAAGACTGTATACACATTTCTACCCCAGGACCAGCCTATGACCCTTTATGTAAAAAATTCTCAGTATATTTTTGGAGATTGAATGAATGAAAAGAAAAGGAAACACTACAATTCTAGAGGATCCATAACTCATCAAGCCTTCTCCACAGTATCAGGATGCATGCATCTGGATTAAACTTCCCAGAAGTAAAATGTAGATTTAGATTTATCTCAAACGAGAAGAGAAATAGAAATTGATCATCAGTGGAGCATCCCCTATAGACCCTAAACTCCTAACTCTACCTAAGATTCCTACTGTAGCCGAAACCGGTTTGGCTCAATGGATAGAGCGTCGGCTTGGGGACTGAAAGGTCCCGGGTTCGATTCCTGTCAAGGGCATGTACCTTGGTTGCGGGCATATCCCCAGTAGGGCGTGTGTAAGAGGCAGCTGATCAATGTCTCTCATCGATGTTTCTAACTCTCTATCCCTCTCTCTTTCTCTCTGTAAAAAATCAATAAAATATATATTTTTTAAAATAAAAAAATAGCAGTCTACAGTATAAAAATCAGGAAAGTGAAAACTACTGGGTAATACAACAGATTTTGAATTGAAATAGATTAATTTTTTACTAGGGATCCCAAGATGGCTCTGGTAGTATTGGAAGAACAAAGAGATCCAGGAATACTAAGGCCCTTGGATAATATAGTGATTACAGACTAAAAGTTTTAATTTTCTTTCACTTTTTAAAATTGATTTCCAAGAAGAAGGGAGAGGGAGAAAGAGATAGAAACATCAATGAAGAGAGAGAGTCATTGATTGGCTGTCCTGTACACCCCCTATTGGGGATTGAGCCTGAAACCTGGGATGTATATGCTTTGACCAGGATTCGAACTGGTGAACTCTTGGTTTATGGGTCAACACACCCAACCACTGACTGGCCTGGTAGCAGATAAGATTTTAAGGTGTGGTTCTTTCCTAGAGGTATTGTCTTTTGGGGAGTTGGGAAAAATTCTTGAAGATTAATAAAGTTTTTTTCTCTTGGATTGTTGATGGCATTGCTTCCTGACTGTTCACTGGGCTCAGTGACTCCCTCGTAGGAGTGAATAAGTATCTACTTAGCAAACTTCTTTGAGAAAGACTGCTGACCCTTGGTCTAAGAAATCATGAGCTACAGGAGACATACGTTTAGGTGTCAGTTTGTCAATCTGACTCATTCTTTTCAGAGAATGAATCACTCATTTGATTGACTCATGTAGCTCCGTGGTACAAGGTGTGGGAGCACAAAGAGCACAGGCCAGGGGCAGGCACATCACGTACCTGAGTTCTGCAATTGATCAGTCATTCTTCTCAACATAAGAAACACATTTATTAAGTACCTAATTGTATACGTGACTTGAAAACATTCTGACTATGTAGGCTAACTATCAGAATAAATGAGCGCTTGTTAAGGTTTTGTGGAATGGGTAAGGTGTCTATTATTATAAAAAGGGAGGCGGCTAGCTATGTATTAATTGTCAGGTTACCAAAGCTCGGGGTAAATTTGGTAGGAACGTTAAGAGTAGCTTCTCAGCAAAGTGCTTGGTGTCTGGTTGAAAACTGGCCACGCTGCTTACTTGGGCACAGACGTGGTTATGTTAGGCTGTTTTTCATGATAAAAGGTATTTTAAGTTTCAACTCTCTGAAATCTGGTGCTCAATATCCTGATATTGTATTCTTTTCTGTAATCAGAGTCAAGGATAAAGAAATCTATCTTCTTCACCACCCTCCCCCTAACCCCCCAAAAATAAATCTATCTTTTTTTAAATAATAAGATAGATAAATTGATAATTGATAATAATATGATAAATCATGAGAATAGATTTGGGTATATGGCCAGACCTGAGTATGATAGCCAAAGATTAAACAAGTTATTTAAAAAAATAATTTTATGCTTCAGCAGTTCTAAATTATTCATTTTTGCTTGCTATAAAATAAAGAAAACTTAGCATTTATCCAGTGCCAGTGTAGTATGTCAGGCACTCAAATACTCAGACACGTCAATCATCATTAAAATTGACAAGGCCAGGTATAGGTGATGTTTCCATTTTGTCAAGGAAGAGAATGAAGTTCAGAGACTGAGATGGGAATAGTTGGAATGCTTACTCAGGTATGCTAGCTTATGATCTTCCCATAAAATCACTTAGGCACAAACTGAAAAACTCGAACTCAGGTAGGATGAAATGAAATGAGACAGTTTCTTTTCTTTATTTTTATTTAGATATAATCTGTATCTGCACGGGGGCAAGTGGGGGGGAGGCAAAATCTATTGCAGAAAGATGCTTGTATTCTACAAATCTGTTGATGGGGATGGGCAATAGGAAGAGATGAGATTAGGAAATGTACATGAAGCAACATGTCAATCCTGGGTCCTAATTTTTCTGAGTCCTTTTTATTTTTTAAAGTATTTCCAAGATGGGCATCAGTGTCTCATAACTTGTAAAATGTGAATGTGGCTGTCCTGCCTAGTGTTTAAGGACACTGTAAAGCTACTGAACAAGCTTTAAAAAGTTATTAGGAAGATTGCTATAAAATACAAAGATTGTTTATATTTTGGACCCTCATCTGTGTACCTAAATTACTTTGTTCTTACCTTAATTACCATATCTATCGTATTGGATCCTAATCACTTCTCTATTCTCTGGTATCTTTTTCTTTCTTTTTTTTTTTTACTCTCTGGTATCTTAATCAGCAGGTGTCCTCCAAGACAGGGACCGTGTTTTTTTTATTGCAGTATCTATAGTAACCTAGGCAGTACTTAAAATATAACAAGTGCTCAGTAAAATTTTATAGAATAAACAACACAATAAAAGGATTAATCTTTTAAAATATACATATATATATTGATTTCAGAGAGAAAGGGAGAGATAGAAACATCAGTGATGAGAATCATTGCTTGGCTGCCTCCTGTACACCCCCTACTAGGGATTGAGCCCACCACCTGGACATATGCCCTTGGTGGGAACTGAACCAGGTGGACTCTCCACTGGGCCAAACGGGTAGGGTAAGGATTCATTTTTTTTTTTATCCTAGTCTCCTTATTTTCAAAATCAGAAGAGTAATATTTTTCTAGGTTGCTTATCAGGAGTGTCATAATACAGGCTCATGTACTCTCATTACATAGACGGGGACACCAAGAAGGTATCATTATGATGATTACTAAAGGGGTGATTATTTTACATCACAGAAGTTTTCTTCTGGCTAAAATCATTTTTTTAAAAACCTAGCCAGTACATTTCAGGAGAGATACGTCGGGCGTGTGGGGTCATATGCAGGCATAATCTCCATCTCTGGGCTTTCGGGGTCGAAGAACCAGAGATGAGAGCAGCCTCTCACTAGGTGGCTCCCTTTCCCGCGAATGGGCGGCGCGTGGGCGCGGGGAGGGCTGCCGGGGGCATTGTCCGGCGGGGCGGCCGGAGGGGCAGAGTTCAGCTTCTGTCTGGTTCATCATCATCTTCGGTCTTAGGGATTGATTTCCAAGCAGCCTGTGCTTTCATTTCCTCCAAACTTACACATGATGCTCCCTCCACACAGACCTTGGCTGGGCCAGTCTCTCAGGAGATGCAATGTCAGGGGAGGGTCTTGTCTGTCCGCCTGGCCTGGACAACAGCAGGAACCGGGGATTCACACAGAATCAGCCCATCCAAATCCTGATTTTCACTCTCCTGTGAGGACGGCATTGCTGGAGGGTGTTCCACATCCCCAAGGACTTTGGGCGAGCTGCTTCAATCAGTTGAAAATTTAATTGATGCCAAATGCCTTCATACTAGTAGGGTGGCTTCTCCAGCGGCTTCTCACACACTCAGTACCACTGGCCCCATTCTTTATCTCTGTTTTTAGGCCCTAACCTGACTGCCACAAAAATACACAGACATCCAAAAACATTTGTTCTAATGAGAAGAAGAAAAAATGTTTCCCTAGACGCCTTCCATCGGAACTTCGCGCCCGTATCTAGGGATGGTTTTTGTTTTTAATCCTATTTTCCCCAACCCTTTCCTCTGCACCCCGAGACGCGGAGTGGCAAGTTCTAAAAACGCCGCAGACTCATCAGAGAATGAGGTTCGCAAAGAAGGGAAAAACTCGGTCTCCTTTTGACAATCAAGCGGGACCTCCATTGGGGGTACAACCCCCTTTTTTGTTCTGAAAGATGGAAACCCACTTGTTAGCTTCCTAGGATGTGTACCCGCTCACGCTGGCCTCCTGGCGGCTGGTGGTGGCTCCCTAAGGCCGAGGGGAGGCGGGGGGACTCCGAGGAAGCTCCGTCTACGAGGGAGGGTGTAGGGTAGGGTTTAGGGGATCCCTATAAGGGGGGAGGGACCCGCTGGGAAAAGTCTAATGCCCCTTCCGCAGGCGGGAGAGCGGTCGCGGCTGTCGGGTGCCGTTCTCCTCCCTCGGGGACCCCGCCTCGGCGGGGTCCCGCCTCCCGGAGCCCGGGGCGGTGGAGGGGAACCCCCTTGGCCGCCGCCGCCGACTGCGCCGCCGCCGCCGCCTCGTCCCCCCCCCCGCTCCTGCCCGCCGCCCGCCAGCCTTAGGGCCCTGCGCGGTCTTCTCCGCAGGCCCGGCCCTCTCCTCGCCGGGAAGGGAGAGGAAACTATGGAGGAGGTGGTTCCCGCACTCGAGCGGGCGGGAAAGCCCACGGTGAATGCCTCGGGGTCTCCCCCAAAGCTGCGGGGGCTGGGGAAGGGGAGGAGGAAACGAACTTCCCCGCCCGCCCGGGAGAAACACCCGGATTCCCAACCTGGGGGAGGGCCTTTCGATGTCAGGGAAGCCGAGGGGGAAACCCTGGGCACCTTCCCGGGTATCATCTATCTATTCGCCCAGGGAGAGCCCACCGGTGGGCGCACATTGGTTACCATGACAATACTACAGCTCCAGTTTCCATGGCAGCTGCTTATCCAATCCAGTGGGGTTTCCTTTCTCTTCTTCCTTGGGCTCCACCCCATCCCCTCCAACAGTCCCCGCGTGCGGTGGGGGGGAGGGAGGGGCCGCGGAAAACAAGAGCGGGGTCCTCCGTGTCACTCTCTAGGGCACGACGGGGAGACCAGAGTCCAGACTGGCGGGCGGAACTGTAGGAGGAAAGGGCGCCGTTTCCGGCGGGGAGGAGTGGAGGATTGGAACAAGGAAGCGAGAAGTCGGGCCGGAGTGAAAAGACGGGGGAAGACTTTGAGTGTGACTCCCCGTCGATTTGGGCTCGATGGTCCCGGTGAGGCGGGGGTTGCCCCCTTGCGCGGGGGAGAGGAGTGGACTGGCCGGAAGCCGCCCAGCGCCCGCAGCGGGCGTCTCCGCGACCGCACAGCTGCAGCCCAGGTAGCTGATTTCTCCTCCCGGAGGAAGCAGTTCCGAGTCGGAAATCACAAAGGGGGCCGGCGCCGCCGAAGTCTCGCGAGAGGGATTCCTACTTCCTTCCTCCGCTTCTCCTCTTCCCCCCGCCCCTTCCCACAACCCTCCCCCCTCCCTCCCTCCTCCCGGGTCGGAGTGTCCCTGCGCCCCACACGGGCCGGAGCTGCAGCGAGAGCAGCTTTCCCCGGTCCCTCCCCTTCGCCTCACTCACCTCCCTCCCACCCCACCCCCCGTCCCCCCGCCCCGCGCCGAGCGAGGAGGAGCCGGAGGAGAGGAAGATGGCGGCGGCCGCCAGCACCCGCGGGGCCGCGGGGCCGCTCCGAGGAGCCTGAGGAACCCCTAGAGGCTTCGCGGGAAGACGCGGCGGCGGAGGATGAGCCTGCAGAGCGCGCAGTATCTCCGGTGAGCGCCGGGGCCGGCCCGGACGGAGGGGAAGCGGGCCGAGGGCTGGGGCATGGAGCCACTACCGACACCGAGGTGGTGGTATATCCGGGGTGGCGGGGGAGTTTGCTGTGTCCTCTCCCTTTCCCCGGCGGGAGGTGGCGGGGCTGGAGCGGGCGCACCGGGGATGTCCTGGCCCCCCTGCGGGTCGGGCTCCGTCCCCCAGCGGAGCCGGCTCGCCTCGGCGCGGGGAAGGAGGTTACGGAAGCGGGAGCATGTGTGCGCGCGCGCGCTCGGGTCGCGGGCTCGCCGGTGCGGGCTGGGGAGGGCGCCCCGGGGAGGCGGCGGCGGCAGCGGCCCGGAGTAGAGGTGGGTGTGGAGGAGGAGGCTGATCCCCGCGGCGGGGGAAACGTGGCGTGGGGTATGGCATTGGCTGGAGCGGCGCGTAATCGGGAAGACCGGGTGGAAATGTGCACACCTGGGATGGGGGTGGGGGGTGGGGAAGGAGGACTGGAGGAGGGAGAAACCGCAGGAAACCCGAGTGAGTGCTTCCTTCTCGGGCTGGAGGTCCTGGGGAATCCTGCCATCTGTAGTTAGTTGGCGGAGTGGGAGGAGTGGGGGTCGGGGTGGGGGGCTCAAGAGGGGTAAATGGATGAGGAAGTGAGGAGCCGGAGAGGTACGATGGACGGCCGAGGTTGGGTTCCCCTGGAGAAACTGGGTTAGAACCAGTGGAGTCGGGAGATACCATTCTTTTCAGAGTGGCGTGAGGACCTTGCCTGTCGGAGGCAGAATGACGCATGGATACGGTGTGCGGGTCTGAGATGTGTCTGGAGTGGGGTGAGGGTGAGGGAGGGGGCGATTGGTACACGTTTTAGGAGGGGGGAAGATGCAGACACAATTGGAAGCAAGCATGCGATGGCGAGAGCACATGGGTTGGAAAGACACCAGCTATTTAATTGTGCACCCAGGAAGGTTCCATGGAAGCTGAATTAAGAACTTGGAAGGAGAGGTAAACGAGATGGCAGAGAAAAGTAAGGTGGCTACACCCCGAGATGAATTGGGGAGTTGCTGCTGTTGAAAAGGGGAAGGCTGGCTTTAAAGTGGGTCCCTTTGTCTTGAGGAGCAGAACCAAGAAAGGCAGGCTTGTCACCACAAAGTGATTGCATACCTCGCAGAGGAGGAAATTGGATGGGGTAGATGTCTGAGACCAGCAGAAAAGTCACTTTGGTTGTTTAGCGAAGTGAAAGTATCGATGGGCTGAATGCCAGGGTTTAACAGGGACTCGGGTCTACACAACATGTGGGCCCAGTGACTTAGAGGGTAGTTGGAAGGATGTCTATATATCAAGGCCCTTTTTTCCCCCCCTTCTCTGATATCTGTTTATTGTTTCATATGTCAGATAAACAATACACCTGCAGGAAAGATCTGAGGTTGATGCTGTAGAGGGGTGGGTATGGAAACATCATCTGGATAGTCCTTTTAATTTTAAGGAATTTGCATTCTAGTATACATTAGGCAAGTAAATAAGTAACAGCACAGAGTGAAAATGGTAAGTGTCATAAAAGATGCCAAGTGTTACAAAAGTCCAAAGGCAGGAGATTACTTGAGCAGTTGGTGGGAATCAGGAAAAATGTCCTTTGCTCATTCACTCTTACATACACTCATGATTCATCAGTCATTTTGTTGATCACCTATATAGGAAACCTTATACCAGCTGCTATGAATGCAAAAGGAGGTACTCCACCTGCTGCTTACAGAGTTTACAGTGTTAGGCTTCAAGGGGAAAATGGCACTTAAAATGGTCCTGAAGGATAAAAAATAATATTGGATTGTTTATCCAATATTATTTATCCAAATTATTTAGCTAATATTAAAAGTGTGTGTTGAGAAGAGTGGAATCCAAATGATAGGAAACTGAGCAGAGATATGTAGATAGGGAGGTTGGTGACTTTGAGAGGTGTTCAGTCCAGTTACACAATAACATAGAGTGATGCAGGTGGAAAAACAAAAGTTTTATAAGTTATTAAGTTTTACACTTTCTTTTTATACATGAGGAAATATAACCCAAAAAAGTTAAAATTATTGAGAATCATCTAGCTGGTGTGTGGAAGCTCTGTAACTCAAATGTAGGTCTTTTAAGCCCAAATCAGCTGCATTGTGCAAAATGTCTGGGCTTATCCATTCTTTCCATAAATATGTATTGAGAGCTTACTATCTAAGCACTGAGGATATTGTGAGCAAAATGAACACATGAATAAGTAGGTTTATCTGGTGGTGACAATAGTAGGAAGAAAAATAAAGCAAGAGAGGGTGACAACTTCCTAAGGTGCCCATATCCAACTTCCTAAGGTGCCCATATCTGAGAGGGTCTTGACTCTCATGATCTATAGTTTATTTTTAAATTAATGGGCAGTAGAGAATCTGAGTTGATTTGTCTAGAAAGAAATTAACATGTTCATAGCTATGCATTAGAAAGATGAACCTGTGTAGTGCAATGGGGGGGTTAAGGCCAGAAATAAGGTGGTGGAAGTGGGACAAAAGGTATGATAAAAAGCAGATCGGGAAAGTAGTGGGAATATTAATGGGACGATCACTTGGCTTTGAGGGGCTTCTGTGTTTGTATATATATCTTATATATATTTTCTAAGTCAACATGGTCCAGAAGACTTATCCTTAAGATGTGACTTCAATGGTAGGCAGCTGGAGATGAATTTAGTTCATAGAAGAAAGAAAGAATAAGAGTGAACACAGTGTTTGAATAACCTTTATTTTCCAGTTGAACAGGTGAAATGGAGCTGGCGTAAGACCTGGAGTCCCTAAGAGCAACGGTTGCCAACCGGTGGTCCGCGAGGTCGGAAAGATTGGCCGCCTCTGCCTTAGAGGTTCCTGGGAGCCAATCTTTTCCCAATCATGCACATCCGTCCTAAGTAAATAAAGCAAGACTTAGGGCTAATGGTAGTCTGGGACAAGCCTTTCTAAAAAGAAAGGCTTCCACCAGCCCAATGTCCCCTCTCCCTCTTAAGATAATCATCCTTTTAGAAGTTTGGTGTGGGGAGACTAGAGAATGTCTTCAGGGAAGCATTATGTTCACTTTTCTTTGATGAAAAAGGAACTGTTGGTTTTTATACAACTCAGGGAGTATTACCGAATGAGTAGAGTAGAGGGTATAGCAGTTATTCATTGTGACCTTGACTTTAGGTCTTGCCTACCTTTGTCAGTATAAGAGCATGACTGGGCAACTTTTAAACTGCATAGCTACAGATCTTCCCCATGTAGATGAAAATTAGTTTTGTCTCAGCTGAATTAATTTGTTAGAGTAAGTGAGCTGAGTGTCTCATATTGAAATGGTAGGGTGGTGGCAAACCAGGAGCAAGATGGTAGTTTCAAAAGTGTAAGAAATGAGGATTTGAGGTAAGCAGTAGTAAGACAAGGAAAGAAAAGGGATTTAACACCAAGTGAAACAAATTAGTCTTGAGTTGTAGAAATAGAGCCGAGTTGAAAGATAGGAAAAACTTTTCTGTATGGGAAAGGAGGTGGTGATCTGGGCAAGAGAATATAAAACTTTTTTGTTAGAAGGGATGTATCATTTAAATAAAGACAGTGACTGACAAGACTCCTATCCAAATGAATAAGTTAAGAATACTTTCCTATACTTTATAAAATAAGGCATAGTCTTTTATTTTAATGTTTATCATTTTCCTTTTTCTTAAATATACAGTTGTGGTTTAAAAAAAATTATATATATATATATATATATATATATATATATATATATATATTTATTTCAGAGAGAAAGGAAGAGGAAGAGAGAGAGAGAAATATCTGTGATGAGAGAGAATCATGGTGGATCGGCTGCCTCCTGCAAGTCCCCCACTGGAGAGCCCACAACCCCAGCATGTGCCCTTGACTGGACTCAAACCCGGGACCTTTCAGTTCATAGGCCGATGCTCTATCCACTGAGCCAAACTGGCTAGGGCAAGACATGGATTCTAGACTGTCATTGGAAATGTATTACCCAATTTGGGGGGGGGGATCAGTATTTTCTCTTGATTTATGACAAAATGGAAAGATTTTTAAAGTCTAACACCTGTTGAGTAAAAGAAAAAGGTGTATTAATATAATTCATATGATAAGGGTGGGAGAAGGGTGAGAATCGGCCATAGATAAGATAGTAGGTGAGGTATAATGTCATGCTTTAATATAATAGTATTTGCAATAATAGAATATAAAAATTAACATCAGATTTGAAAAAGCAGGGTTGGGATTGATTCTGATGTACTAGACAGAGAAGACATCATCGAAGTTCTTTTGGAAGGTGAGAAAGTAGAACAATCATAGCCATAGGGAATACCAGTCACATAGGGCAAATCTTGTTAGAAAAGGTGGCACAGGTGCCACTAACTGACATCTGCTACCCTTGCAGAAGCCAGCTGTTCATACTCTATACCCCTCTAACTCTCCTCCTCTCCTTCACTGTGCTCTTCTTTTTGTCTTTAATTTCTTTCTATGCTGTATGTTTTTCAATGAGATCTTTCTATACTTGAAGTTGATCCCTGGTGGTGCACATGTGTCAAACACAAGGCCCGCGGGCCAAATCCGTCCCGCCAGGCCTTGCAATGTGGCCCGCACAGCGCTGTCATCACTGCACTCTGCTGCGTTTCCATCACAATGACAGTTTATGACTGTTCAGTAAACCA